AGAGCTTAAAAGCTAACCTTGTGTCCTCACTCTTGCCTGCTTTTTTCTTCAAGCCACTCTTGCTGCCTCAATAATTTCCTTACCAAACATGTTTGATTTTATATTCTTTGGTAATAATGATCTCCTTTCTCCTAATAGAATTTTGTAGATCTTTACTGGAAAGATAATATTTCCCAATGCCCTGTGGTGGGCTCTTGATTTTACCTTATGCTATTATCACCTATTCCCTCATACATAGTGACATGCCTGTCTGTCTAAAGTTCTTATAGGATGATGTTTTATCTTTTTCTGTGGTGCTATGAACCTAATGCCCAGCATAGTGCCTGGGCCATAGCAGCAACTTAGTATGTGGTAGCTATCAATATTAATTTTCATAGCAATAACATATTAGATATAATGTATTATAATTAACTTTGTGTTTCAAATTAACGTCAGTAGGTACAAAGCGTTAAGCATAGTGTTTGACATTACACATTCACCATTTGAAAAAACAAATATGAAGTTCATTGGTGTTAGAAATAAAAGGGTAATGTACACATTCTTCACCCCACCCCATCGTCTCCATTCTCAGTACTGTTGCATACTTTTATCTTCCCTCATCTGGATGGCTTCTGTTTCCTCCCAGTTCATATTCATGACTCTGATCTTTTCAGCCAACATTGCTGGTGGATAAACATCTATAAAATTAAATTTGATCATGTTATTCCACTCTTTTAAAGCCTTTAGATGGTAGTTCTCAAACTGTACTGCAGCATGAAGTTGTCTGGGATTCTCATTAGACAGGTTCTGATCCATTCAGGTCTATTCATACTGATTCAGGCCTGATACCAGGCCCAGGAACCTGTATTTTAACAAATAACCCCAATGATTCTGAGAGAAGCACTGCTTTATTGATTCCCAAACCTGCAAGATAAAGTTCAGAAGCCTTAGTGTGAACCTCTGTGTTCTCTCCTTAACATTCGTTCTCTTGGTCTTCTGTGGCTTCATCAACATCCATCCTGTCACATCTCTTGCCTTTATCCTTTTTCACATTTTGCTCTCTCTCTGCCCTTTCATAGTTACCCCTTTGGGGAGGCTCTCCCTGGTCACCCAGGGTGGCTTTCTCTGCTGTGTCCCTTATTGTACCTTGCAGTCCTCCTTTCTTCAGAGCATCATTCTTACTACATTATCATGGTGTCTTTACATGTCATTATGCAGTTGTGAGGTTTGAGTTCCATGACTAGAAGGTCATCTTGTTTGTCTTTGTATCTCCAGTGTCTTGCACAAACTCAGGCGAATGTGTAAGAAATGAATTAAATACGGGAATGAAATTCAGACACTCTTGGCTTTTTTAAATCATATTTTGTAGAATATAAATTTATATTACTTACGTTCTTTAGGTTCTTAAGCTGTGATTTAGAAATTATTTCCTACCTTCCTTTAAACATGATTCCATTCAGAACAGAGGTTTCAGCAAAGGAGGCAGAATAAGTAATAATTATGGAAATAATTTGTGGAAGAGCAGCCGCTTGAGACTTTTTTTTACATTTTTCTTTCATTGAGGTATAATTGACATACAACATTACATTAGTTTCAGGTTTATGATGTGATGATTTATATTTGTATATACTGTGAAATGATCACCACAGGAAGTCTAGTTAACATCCAGGAAATGCCCTTGAAGAATGGGTAAAGTATGACTTGAGGAGTTGTAGGAAGAATGAGAAAGGAGCATCATCCTCACATAAGCAAAGGCACAAATGTGAGACACTGCATGGTTCTGGAAGATACAGGTGGTTTAGGGGCGCCTGGGTGGCTCATTCGGTTAGGCATCTGCATTCGGCTCAGGTCATGATCCCAGAGTCCTGGGACCGAGCCCCATGTCGGGCTCCCTGCTCAGTGGGGAGTCTGCTTCTCCCTCTCCCTCTGCCCCTCCTCCTCCTCATGCTCACTCTCTCCCAAATAAATAAAAATTTAAGAAAATGTACAAGTGATTTCATTGGGCTGTAGTAGAAGATAGAGGGGTTGTGGCTAGAGATGAAATTGGAGGAGTAGGCAAGCAATATATTTTGGAAGATGTTTTGTGCTTTGCAAAGAAGTCTTTGCAAAGATTGTATCATTGGATAATAAAATGCTATTGAAGCCCCTTCAGCTAGGAAGAAACATGGTCAGATGGGAGGAGGATTGAGGCAGAAGAGAGACCAGTTAAGATTTGTTACAATTTTATGATAGAAGAGTTTATGACTTATGATTAGCAATTTAAAATAATTTTATAATTTTTTTATAATATCCTTTGTTCATTCTGCCAGGTACTCTGATAGGGTTACACAAGATGAGTAAAATATAATTAGTTCCCATAGAGTACAGGAAAATGTAAATATGTAAAATACCTAATATATCAACATAACCAAGGTGTATACATTTGTGATTTATAGTAGATATAAAATGTTAATGGGAGCTGGCTTCATTGTGGACTAACTTTCCTTGGGAGAATTAGGGTCTTGGTGGAAGAGAAGGGATTAGAATAGAACAAAGAAGAGTATTTTGGGCAAAGGAATAAATAAAAGGTTTAATGGGTGGGGAACTATGGTTATGGTATGAGAGCCTGTTTGTTAAAGCTGGAAAAATATTTGATATCAGACTGTAATGGGCCTTGAATGTTGTGCTGAAGGACTTTGTATTTTATCCTGGAGCTTTATTTTCTGATTAGGAAAATAATATATATTGACTGTGTACCATTTAAGAAATGTAGGGAAATATAAAGAAAAAAGAAAATATTCTATAATTCCATCACAAAATGTAATTAACAATATTTTCATGTATTTCTTCCCAATGTTTCTCACCATGCTCAAATACATACTTAACCATTCAATAAATGAAATCAGAACCATAATGTGTGTGTGTGTGTGTGTGTGTGTGTAATTTTATCTCACTTAAAATTGGAACAGGAGGGGTGCCTGGGTGGCTCAATCAGTTCAGCGTCTGCCTTAGGCCCAGGTCATGATCCCGGAGCCTTGGGATCAAGCCCCCGAGTCGGCCTCCCTGCTCAGCAGGGTGTCTGCTTCTCCCTCTCCCTCTGCTCCTCCCCCTTCCCTCCCCCCCCTCCCCGCTCATTCTCTCTTTCTTTCTCTCTCTGTCTCTCAAAGTCTTCAAAAAAAAAATTGGAACAGGAAATTTTGCCATGTGGTTAAATGTGCCCAGAAAGCATGATTTGTAGTGATTGTAGTATTTATTCTATTATATGGCTACACTTAAATTATTTATCTGTTTCCTTATTGTTAGGTTATTTAGGCTTCAATTTTAAAATGGCTACCATTTCACTGAATATCTTTGTACATAAATCCATGTCTGTATTTCTGACTATTTAGGGTGGGGTTCTAGAAATAAATGCACTGGATCAAACTGTCTAAAGGTCTCCCAGTGTATTTTGCCACATTGCCTTTTCTAAAAGGCTGCTATTTAAATTCATGCCTGCAGTGAGTGTGTGGGTTTCTTTCATTGTACTCCTGGCTAAGTAGTTTTAATGTTTACTGTGTACTAATTTTATAAATGGTATCTTGTAGTTATTGTAACAGTTATTTCCTTGACAACTAGTTTGAGCTGGTTTTTCCCTCTATTTATTGACTCTTTGTTTCTTTTACTGTGAATTGTCCTTGATCTTTATGATATTCCCCCTCTTATTTGGGCATTAGTATTTTTTTTGCCAATTTTAAGAAATATTTATGTAGATTGTAACCCTATCGGTCTTATTTCTGGCACATTTTCCTATTTCTTACTTGCCTTTTAATATTTTTATAGTAGTGAATTTTAAATTTAAGTATATTTGGAAAGCTCTTTCTCATCTTGAGATCAGATACATTCACCTGTATTTTGATTTAGTTTTTATTCTGTATTTTCCATTTCTCTCCATAACCCATGATTTTGGCAGAAGAGTGATGTGACTGGATTTGTGCTTCAGAAAGAAGTCTTGTGGCTCTGGAGTTGCGTTGGAGTAAATAGAGACTAGGGCGGTGAACCCTGCTGAGACAAGAAAATAAGTGTCCAGATGTGGTGACAGTGATAGTGGGGATAGATGGTCTCGGAGGCACAGCGGTTCAGTGCCATTGGGGGCATCAGGCCACATTTGACTGTGAGGGGCTATGGGACTTTGAGATACAAGCAGTTGTAAGTAGAGGATTGAAACTCCAGGAGGCTGGTCGGGCTGAGGATGGAAATTAGGGAGCCACAGGTGTTACTCCTAATGTGGGAGCAAAGATGAGTTTTCAGGGCAGCTGACTGCTGAGAAGGGTGGTCAGAATTAGAAGGCTCACCAAGAAGGGAAGCTAGGAGAGGTGGCTTTTAATTTTTTTCTTTATGCTTTTTTCTCACTCACCCAGCAAAAATAACAATGTCAGATACTGCAAAGGGCTCGAGGAGGAGCGGGACTGAGAGTTTCCTTGGATTAGCCTCCGACTTTCCGTACATTTGACTTAAAGGGGCAGTAGAGGGGAGAGAGATCAGTAGAAGAGGGAGCATGGTCAAAGGATAACATTCCTTGTTAGAATCTAAGTAGACTTGGGCATGTTCTCTATTGAGGGAAAAGAATCTGTGAATAGGGAGATAGTGAAGGTAAGGTGGAAAAAGGAAGGATTTGATGGTACAGCAACTTAAACGGAGGAGTCACCGTGATAAATGGATTCTTCTTTCAGGTGAACCAGTAGTTCATTCTCAGAGAATTTGCATAGAGGTTTTTGAAACAAATTTTAATCTGTTCTATGAGTAAAAAGACTCCCTGCCTCAATAACAAATTTTTCTAGTTTTTAAAAAATTGACCATTTTATAATTGTTTCAGCATAAAACTGTCATATAAATTCACATCTTTTACATGCTGCTGATTGGCAAAGTTCGTGTGTTACTGTTAATGATAGAGGTACCTAAAAAGCCTAACATGCATTCAGATTCCTCTCTTTGTTGCTCAGTCATGAATGTATGCAATTAAACATTTTATATTCTAACCATTGTTTAAAAATGTTTTTTTGCAGGGAAATTTGCCTAAATATTCTCATAACTCCCTGATGGTTCAGGCAATAAAGACAAACCTAACAGACCCGGACATACATGTGCTTTTCTTTGATGTGGAAGCGTTGATTATTCAACTCCTGACTGAAGAAGCCTCTAGGCCGAATACTGCGCTTATTTCCCCAGAGAATTTGCAAAAAGCATCTGGCAGTTCAGACAAAGGGGGCTCTTTTCTAACTGGAAAACGAGCAGCAGTTCTCTTCCAACAAGTGAAAGAAACTATCAAAGAGAACATAAAGGAACATCTCCTGGACGATGAAGAGGAGGATGAGGAGATGATGAGGCAGAGAAGAGAAGAGAGCGATCCAGAGTATCGGGCCAGCAAATCTAAGCCGTTGACCTTATTAGAATATAATTTAACGATGGACACTGCAAAATTGTTCATGTCATGTCTTCATGCCTGGGGTTTAAATGAAGTTCTGGATGAAGTTTGTCTTGATCGCCTTGGAATGCTGAAACCGCACTGCACAGTATCTTTTGGTCTCCTATCGAGAGGAGGTCATATGTCCCTGATGCTTCCTGGTTATAATCAGCCTGCTCGGAAGCTGTCGCATGGGAAAGCCGAAGTAGGAAGGAAGCTGCCAGCAACTGAGAGCGTTGGAAGGGGAACTTACGGAGTGTCCCGAGCCGTCACCACACAGCATCTCCTGTCTATCATATCTTTGGCAAATACATTAATGAGTATGACCAACGCAACTTTTATTGGTGATCATATGAAGAAGGCTCCTACCAGGTGTGACCAAGATAGTTTGATTTTATTCTCACATTTCAAAATAAATAAATAAAGCCTGTTTTATTTGTCTCACTGTTTATTACTTTGGCGGGGGGGCTCTGCCCACCTCAGCATTTTTGTGTCATCTCAGTGTTTCCCCTTGAAATTTTAAAACACAACATGCATGATTTAAAGCATGATAAAATTACACAGTTTAATCTTTACTCAAACATACTATGTAGCTATTTAAACTGAGTAGCTCAGATCAGCTTTAATAAGTGACTTATGGACTAGCTCATCAGTAAATATAATCTTAGAATTGTATCTACTTAAAGTTTGCATTGACATTTAATTCAAAGGGTATATTTGGTTGAAATGCTTCTTTATGACTTATATGTAATGAATGATAGGTGTTCAGTAATTAGCTTCAGAATTTTATGAGAAGTGTAGTAAGAATTTTTCAGTTGGAAGAGAGAAAACAACTTTTTTAATTGTAGGAGAGTATTATTTTAATATTTTAGGAATATCTAACCTGATTTGCTATTACCTATTTTCCGGAAGTCATGAAGACAACTTTTTATTTTTATTTATTTATTTATTTATTTTTAAGATTTTATTTATTTATTTGACAGAGAGAGACACAGCGAGAGAGGGAACACAAGCAGGGGGAGTGGGAGAGGGAGAAGCAGGCTTCCTGCGGA